TATATATATATATATATGCGTGTGTGTGTGTGTGTGTTAAATATGCATCACTCTGTAATAAGTATGCACCGAAATGAAAATTCTGGGCCGAAATTGAAACCAAAAATTCTGGATGCACTTGGCCGAAAAACTAAACTGCTTTTTAATAATTATTTATTATTGTATTAAATAACATACAATCATTTCGTAAGACTTTTTAATTTAACTCAATTTTAATGATACTGAATAAAAAAATTCAAGCCAATAAAATAACCACACTTTTATTGAAAGTGAAACAAAACAATTGGACAGAAAATATATTATTCAATATCAATATATTATTTTTATTCAGTTCTATGCAACAGAATCAGACATAACTTTTTTTTTTACTAATTATCCAAAAAATGTATAGTCCTACAAAGCTATTATTATCAGAGCATGTGAGCAGAGCATAGCGTCACGAGAGGGGAGCATCATTTTACCAGCGTTGCCCAGTGCAGCTGTACTACACCATGTTACAGCACAGTAGCGCTATTGCAAACAGGAACAAATATATACTACATAGAAATTTTCTTCGGCTATTTGAGCGGACTTTGCTTTTCCTTTGAGCATAAGCCATACACGAGTGTAGCGTTCCATGGGCCGTGAGCAACTCAACGGAACGCACATTCATAGAGCGGAATATTGAGCACTCCGCGCAGTGACAGTGGCTTGAGTGAGAGTGAAACATGTGCGCTGAACACTGCTGGGCGGAGCGGTGCGCCATATATTTTCGGCAGCCGAAACTTCAGTGCATCCCTACTCTGTAACCTACCTTATACTCTGTGCTCTATCTCTGAACAGTATCGGTCGATCCAGTGACTGGTCACTTCTCAGAGATGTGCTGGACGGTGTCAGAGATGTTGCTTTGTTTGGTCTCAGCCTTTGATACAAGAACAAATTTGTTAATATTAGAAGAAAACTCTTCTTTAAAAAGGATAAAAAAAAAAAAAAAGGTTTTCATACCTTATACTCTTTGTTTCATTTTTCAACAGAATTAAATTAGCCTCTAAAATTATTCAAAATTTGAGTTTCACTGCAAGGTGTCTGGCTGTGTAATTGTTGTGTTCATGTTAAGTACTGAATATTAACACTTGCAGTGGTGCTTTTGAAATGGTTCAGACCTTTCTGACCAGTTTTTAGGAAACAGATGGATAAAGTTGTCAAATAAGACAAAATGTATTAACTTTTGATACATTTTGCATACAATTGTATCAAACATGTTGATTATCTCAAAAGTTGCTAATTTACTAAAAATCTAAAATTTTGTTTGCTTTTTTAGTCAAAGGACAAGAGTGTAAATTATACCTTTTACTCCTCCTTATACTCTGTGTACCATCTTTAAATAGTATTGGCCGATCTAGTGACTGGTCACTTTTTAGAGATATAGAAGATGCTGGAGATGTTGCTTCATCTGGTCTTTGCCTTTGGGGGAAAGAAAGAACTAATGCTAAAATACTGTGCAAGATAAGAGGCATGCAAAGTGCATATTAAGGGTGCAAAATATCACAAAACTCATGGTTCAGATCATATCAGAATTTTTTTGGATTAGCAAAAAAAATAAAAAAACAACAAATATAACTTTGCTTTCTATTTATTACTTAGACAGCAGCAGGTATTCACAGGCTGCCATCACTTTAAGACCTAAGGCACAGATCCAATATATCCAATATTATACACATCTGATTTCTTTCTCAACTGTGTAGTCATTTAAGACATATCTGCCAAGATGGGTATTTTAAAATAATTTTTAAAATGTTTTAAATGTTTTCAAAATAGCGTCCATTCAAGCACAATGAGATGCAAAAGAAAACTCTATTCCGTGTTCGCATGCTAAATGAAACAGTCACAGAGTGCGAATACTGAATTGGGTTCTCTTTCGGCTATTTTTGAGCATAACAAGTTTTTAAATCGCTTGAATGTTTAAATTGTCAAGATTTTCACTTTTTTATTTTTTATTTCCTTCATATCAGTACATTTATACCAAAACGTGTAACTTGTGCATCCCAACAGAAATTTTAAATGCTCATACCTTTCATTCCCCAGAGCTCCATCGTTAAACAGTATCGGTCGATCCAGTGACTGGTCACTTTGCAGAGATGTAGAAGAAGGTGCTGGAGATGTTATTTTATCTGGTCTCATTCTTTGGGAGAAAGAAAGAACTGATGTTGGTAACACTTTAGGGATCAATTCTCACTATGAACTAATTGCTTGTTAGCATGCATATTACTAGCATATTGGCTGTTTATTAGCACTTATAAAGCACATATTCATGTTTTATTCTGCATGACCATATTTTAGATCCCTTAATCCAACCTCATACCTAAACTTAACAACTACCTTACCAACTATTAATAAGCAGCTAATTAGATGTTTATTAAGGCAAAAGTCATAGTTAATAATTAGTTAATAGTGAGAACTGGTCCCCAAACTAGTGTGATTGGGATCACACCTGAGACCTTCGTGCCCAAATTTGTCCAGGGCTGCTATACGAAGGATGTTTGAGGGTTAAATGTTATTTGCTTGATTTAAGGAAATGCCATGTAAAGATGCTTAAATGCTATTTGCTTGTGTAGTACCAGCAATATTGTAAATTATTATGATGTAGAACAGGATAGATTGAGCAAAAGGTGTGATCTTAACATGTGCAACCTACCACAAAAGTTTTATTTTACATTACCTGCTTTGCATTGTAACCAATAAAATAAGCATTTCTATTGTTACAATAGCTTTACTTATAAATACAGACTATGCCTCAGACAAGAACAACCACAAGGGAGTCTTCTACAACATTCCTGATAAACTTCAACCTATTGGCAGGTGAGTACTTTATGGTTTAGGCTAGATTTGACTATCCTTACCTGACTAATCATAAGTTTAAAGGTTTAAGATAAAAAGACACAGCAAGTGCACGGTATACTAGGGATGAAGACGATTAACAGATTAATTGATTTCAATTATTTGTTTGAACAATTAAATCAGTTAATTAACATTTTATTTACACATTAATTAAAAATAATAAACAATGCAGAACAATTTCCTCTAGCAAAAGAAGTAAAAGTGTAGTATGTTATGCTTCATTATTGTGCTTCATAACTATTTAGGCCTATATCACTTTCCATTTAAAGTCTGTATTCAGCACTATAGTGACCTGGACATTGTGAAAGCACAGACTGCAGATTAACTAAAAAGAAAACAGAAATCATGGACAACTGACAAGCGTGAGTCTGGAGAAACCGGTTCTGTTTCTTAATTGAACAATGTATGTGTAAAATTTTGCTTTACTGATAATTAACTATTTATGCTACATATTTGTATGTACCATACAAAGATAACTTGTAAAATAAACATTTACATGCAAGGTTTAAACCATGTTCTTTTTTTTCTCCTAAATTATGGTAAGCATTTTGAATCATCCATCAGCGTTTTTAAAATTTAGCCAGCAAAGTCTTAAAAAAAATTGGTCTTTGTCATGTCTGTTTGATCATGCATTTTATCGTGTTTATTTATGGAAGGTTAATGACGCCAGTTAATTGGTTAAGAACTTGCCAAATGCATCTACCACCCTGGCCAATTAATCAAACAACATGAGACTATTTTGAGAACAAAGCTAAGGGATTTTTGTGTGTGTGCATATAACACATTATGTGATAAGAAACAAATGACCAGTCATTTCGAAAACACGAGGAAAAACTGGTAAAACTTTGTCTAATTATTATCGTTTAAATTTAATTGGGTCATATGATGCCATTTCAATTTTTCCTTTCTCTTTGAAGTGTTACAAGCCGTTCCTCACTCAAGCCCACCTGCCGCCACTCACTCAAGCCGGCCGCTGCTCAATCTAGCCCGCCGTGTGTGACGCTGTGTGTTTCGTTGTGAAAGCGAAACGACTTTGTTTGGCCTTCCAAAAGAGGACACGACTAGAAATCAGTGGTTAATTTGTATTTACAACACTGTTCCAGAACAGTTCAACCCAAATATTCAGATGTGTGCAG